TTTATCAGGTTTAAGAGTAACAGTTTTGGTATTTTCTTGGAAATATGAGAGAATCACACAGTAAAATAGGATCACAAAATAGAGGGAAGAAATAAAAATATTTAACTATTGGTTTCCTTTATATGTTAGTCTTCCAGTAAAATTAAAGACACATAGATGTGCTTAACTTATTCAAGGATGTAGGTAAAATAAAACTGTAGTAAATTAACCCCAGCCCTTTCACTCTTCAGACATTGAGAATATGCTCTTGGGAAGGCTCCTTCTTAGTACCGGGGATGCCAAAATAAAGAAGATTCAGCCCTAGCCCACAGAATTTTGGAGTCTAGGAACAGTTATCACATAAGGAAGACGGTGACATACTCTCTAAGACCTAAAGAATAAATAAATAAGGGGAGCCTAGGTGGCTCTGTTGATCGAACGTCTGCCTTCAGCTCAGGTCATGATCTTGGGGTCCTAGGATCAAGGCCTGCATCGGGCTCCCTGCTCAGCTGGGAGTTTGCTTCTCCCTCTCCCTCTGTTCCTCTCCCTCTTCTCCTCCCCCCTGCTCATGCTCTCTCTCTCAAATAAATAAATAAAATCTTAAAAAATAAATAAATAAATAAAAAGAAAGAGTTGGGGGGGTGGGTTTCAGAACAGTCAAGTGTAAATGTCATGAAACAAGGAAGTTTGAGGTTTTGGACACTGCCATTTCTTTAGTGGGAGGTAATTTTAAGTTAAATTGCGTGGTGGGCCAGATGAAGCTGTCAGAGTGGTAAGCAGAGGCCAAACACTCAGATGATGTATCTTACAGTCGAGAGACTAGGCCTGGAATGAAAAACTGCTCACAACAGTTACTTTGGTATCTTAGGTAAACCAGAGAGAATCTCCCCCTGCAGCAGTAATGGAAGGATTTGTGCACTCTTGTCCCAGGCAGTTGAGCTCAATACACAAACTAGGTGTTTTAGGAATATTGTGTCCCAAGAGTTTCTGAGAAATAAGTTTGAGACTCCGTTGAGGCAGGATGTGAAGGAGACACTGGACTGGCACTCTTTGTTCTGCGCTGAGAGAGCAGAGCCTACTCCATTAAAAAGGGCATTTGAATTAGGTTATCTTGGATGTGATTTTGTAAATCTACATCCAAGGGATAGAGTTCTGCTTGCAGTAGAATGAATGAAAATAGGGGTGGATTGGATGGAAAGGCAGCTGGGAGGGACAGAAGAAGATGGCCCTTCAAAAAAATTTAGGAGTTTGGAGTTGCTACATTTACAGAAGACTCCCCAACACTCAAATAATCTATCTTCAAATGGGGAAAATTGGTGGAGTTTTACTTGCAAAGCAGCATTTTGATTGATTTGTTGTACCATGTCCTACAGCACTTCATGTTCTCTGAGACATGCATCCATCAACCATTCATTAATGATCTAAGATACGCCAGGCACTGTGATATGCCCTTTATGTATGTCGCATGTATTCGGACAGTCCTAGAGGACAGAGCTTCTCAACCTGTTTAATAGATGAAGAGCCTGAGGATTATACAGTTTGGTTATGTGCCCAACTTCACAGGGCTAAAGTATGACAAAAGTGGGACTGTACCGCTGGTCTGAATTCTCCTACAGCCAACTGTTCCACTGTCATTTCTTCATAAAAATACTGCTCTTGCCCCACTTCTCTGCAATGGCACACTGAATCAATCAAGCAATAGTGTATAAATAGGTCTGTCTGAGGACACTGTTTAGTTACATTGTTCTCTTTGCCTATGCCTGCACTTACGCCACAAGCTCTTGATTACTATAGACTTTTACTAATTCTTAATAGTAAAGTAAGCTATATTTTATTTTTATTCTTCAAGAGCCTATGAGGTATTTGGGGCCACTTGTGAATCAAATTATTTATTTATTTTTAAAGATTTTATTTATTTATTTGTCAGAGAGAGAGAGAGAGAACAGGCAGGGGGAGCGGCAGGCAGAGAGAGAAGCAGGGAGCCCGAAGTGGGACTCAATCCCAAAACCCCGGGATCATGACCCGAGCTGAAGGCAGACGCTTAACTGACTGAGCCACCCAGGTGTCCCTGTGAATCAATTTAAATTTTATAATCAGCTTGTCAAGTTTCAAACACATATACACATAGACACAGACATTCACACACAAATATTTGTGGTTTTTTTTTTTTTAACATTTGGGGTTTTATTTGTATGAGAAGGATGATAGTCATCTGTAGATTAAATTTGGGGAGACAGTATGATCATAATATTGAATCTTTTATCTGCAAACATATTTCTGTCTTTAGTTAGGCCTTCATTAATTTCTCTAAATAATATCAATGTATTTTTTTCACTGACTTGATAAACTTTTAAAATTATATTTACTTATAGGTACCAAGTATTTTGTTATGGTAATTTACAAGTTGTATTTTGTTTAATTCATTTTTTTATTTTTAAAAAAATTTTATGTAATCTCTACTCCCAATGTGGGGCTCGAATTCATGACTGAGCCAACCAGGCACCCCTATTTTGTTTAATTTTTTTTCAGACATTTTGTTGCCACAGATACAAGTATATTTTTGCATATTAATATTATACCCAGCAAACTTTATAAATACTTTTATTGATTTGATGATTTATCATTAGATTTTCTTCGCATACATTCTAATCATCTGTTAATGATACTAGCTTTGTTTCTTATCTTCCAATCCAAATCTCTTTGATTTCTTATGCTTCCATTACTTCCCTATATAGGATCTTCATTAAAATATTGAATAGAAATGGTGATAGCAGGTATCCTCATCTCCTTCCCAGTTTTAAAGTAAAAGCTCTCAGTGATTTGGTATCAAGTATAGTGTTTACTGTAGGGTTTTTCTAGATATCCTTTATCGAGGGACATAACATATCTTTTCTTTATGAATGAATGCTGAATTTTATAAACCAGTTTAGCAATTTAGGAATGATTTTTTTTCATTTAATATGTTAATGTGGTATTCCCTTGACTTATGTGAGTATAAAACTTCCAGAATAAAAAGTTTTAAAGTGGTTTTTAATCTGCTTGGAACTAGAATTTCTATTAAGTATAAGGGAGGGTTTTAGTCACATTTGTTTTTAATATGAATATCAAAATGTACCAATGTGATTTCTTATTAAAAAACAATATTCTTTCCCCTACATCTCTGAGTAGATAATTTTTAACAAACCAGGACATGATATATAGTGGGTCTGTTTTGGAACATGCTATTCACTTCTTTTGGTCTATTTCTCTATGCCTACATCTATAACACAAACTCTTATTACTACAGTCTTTAATAGCACATCTTTTTTTTCAAGAGTATATTAGCTATTCATAGCCATTTGCAAGTAGATTTAAATTTCAGAATTACTCCCCACTCATCGGGGAGTCTACTTCTCCCTCTGACCTTCCCCCCTCTTGTGCTCTCTCTCTCTCATCCTCTCTCTCTCACTCTCTCTCTCTCTCAAATGAATAAAATCTTTAAAAAGAATATATTTTAGAATTATCTTGTCAGCTTTCACACAGAATGCACATGTATAGTATATAAACATTTACACATAAAAATTATGTGGCTTCATTGAGAAGGAGGGATTACAGTCATTAATAGATTAAATTTGAGGACAATTAACATGTTTACCTAATTGAATCTTCCATCTAAAAACATATTTCTCCATTTAGTTAAGTCTTTAGTAATTTAAATAAATAATAGTTGTATAATTTTTCTATAGAGTTCTTATATTTTTTGTTATATATATTTTTAGGAATCAGGCATTTATTATGGTAATTTACAAGATATTCTTTGTTTAATTTCATCTTTATACTGCACTGCTACCAAAAAAGTGTCTTTTTGTATATTGATCTCATACCCAGCAATTTTATTTAAAAATATTTTTACTAATAGTTTTTCTTTAGTATATTTTCCTCATACACAATTTATTCATGTTTAATTATACCGACACTGCTTCTTATTTTCTAGTTTCTATCTCTATGATTACCACTTTCCCATTACTTTATCACGTAGTTTCTTTATGAAAATGTAGACTAGAAATGGTGATAGCAGGCATTTTTGTTTTCTTCTCAATATTAAAATAAAAGGTTTCAACTTTTCCACATGAGATACGATTTTTACTCTAGGGATTTTTTTATAGATATCCTTTATCTACTTTGAAAACATACCTTTCATCAAGAATGAATAATGATTATTTTTATGAAACACTTTTCTCTATCAATTGAAATATATTTTTAAAATTCATCTGTTGATGTGGTATGCCAGTCCTTGACCTATTTGACTTCAGATTCATTCTTCACTCTTGCTCTGTTCCATACTCTTCTATACACAATTCCTAGGCATCAAGATGCCAATTCAGTTCAGCCAACAGGAGAACCCAGAGGAGATTAGACCCCAGGAGGATGGGAGTGCCCCAAACTTTTCTTCTTCCTTTGCATTATGTAGATTCTGCTTCAGTTGCTACATCTTGATTGCAGCCTTCATCTCTGATAGCTCACCACAGATCCTGGCCCCTGCCTGTTTGTGTTCCAACTTCTTCATTTCACATTAAGACTGGGACATGACCCATTCCACGCTTGGCAAGGGTTTCGGTGGGTAAAGTCATCAAGAGTTTGCCGAGATGTAGCATTTCCCAGAAAGCCTTGAGTCATAAGAAGGGAGCCAAAACGAGAACTGCCAGTGAATGAGGACAGAAAAGAGGCCAAAACCAAAGAATAAGGGTGGGTCACGTAGACACGAGCCAGTGCCTATTTCAGCCCTATTGGCCCAGGCAGGGCTCTCCGACTGAAGCATCCCCTCAATTCCTCTTGAGGGTTCTAGGGGCATGAGGACATTGGCATGAGAGGCATGACATGGGTTCAAGAGAGGGATTAATTCCAAGGCTACCAGAAGTCAATAGGACTATGACGAGGGACCGACCAGCCACAACCTCCACCGTGAAAGAGGCTGGTGCGCACAGCCCCGCCCCTGCTGTTGACCCGGAAGAGCCCAGGCAGGTGTAACCGGATGTGACGCCCCCTGATTTCCTCCTCCAGATTGTCGGGCTGCACGGGATTCCTTCTGGGCTGTGCGGGATTCAATCTGAGGTACGTGGAACCGAGTCAGCCGAGGGAGGGGTCCCAGGTGCTACTTGGAGTCAAGTAAGATTCCAAATGAGAACTGAGGAGACCTCGTATCACAGAAATGAGGGGACTCATTAGATGAGAGCCCCAGTCCAACTCAGGGAAGCCCCGGACCGGTCTGTCAGGCTGACCTACGACACACTTCCTCTTTGGAGGAATTGAGGCGACAGCGTTTCTGTTGCGGGGCTAAGAGTTCCCTGACCTGCTGGTAGTCCGGAAAAGGCCCCCGAGTGAGTCCTGAGGGGACCACCCACCCAGACAGTGGTGGACTCAGTGAGCCTCGGCCAGTGTGTGAGGCCTGGGAGGCCTCGGGCAGGGGCGGCGGGAAGTGTTGCTGACTGACTTCTGCCTCCAGAGTCTGAGGGAGGGAAGAGCTTAGTCTGAGGCAGGCGGTGTCCCGTCGGCAGAGGAAGGAGCCTCAGGCCCTGCGGGGGACTCCTGTAGGAGTCCGGGCGAGGACCCCGAGTGAGTTCTCATGCTTCCCCTGACCGCGGGTAGAGGTTGTGGTGCAGAATCGAACCCCTGTGGTCAGGTCTCCATGTCGGGCGGATGAGGTGTCCCCTCACTTCCTTTCTGGGCGTCTCAGACACGTGGGGCGTTGATTAGAAGGTGGAACCTCAGGTAATAGATGGCAGCGGGCACATCACCAACCACTTTGGTCCACCCTGGGAGGTTCCTGAAAGCAATGACCACGCGTGTAGGTGACTTCACGTCATCCTTTTGGGTTTAAGAGAGGTGTGAGGCTTGGTCTGAGGGAGTGAAGTCAGGTGGTCAGATGGAAGATTTCCAGGTGCTTAAAGGATTCAGGGTAAAGGGGGCACCTGGGTGGCTCAGTCGTTAAGCGTCTGCCTTCGGCTCGGGTCATGATCCCGGGGTCCTGGGATCGAGCCCCGCATCGGGCTCCCTGCTCGGCGGGAGGCCTGCTTCTCCCTCTCCCACTCCCCCTGCTTGTGTTCCT